TGCTCTGGGTAATTCAAAATGGTTCCTTTCTCCCTACTCTGGCCAGAAGCACAAGATTTTTCTCTGGTATTCACTGTGGAAATCAGTCAGTTCTTGGAGGTGAAACTCACAAGTGTGGGGACCTCTCAAACCTCTCTGAGTCCCCTGGAATTTTTAACTCTCACACTTGCCCACACTGAGCCTTCAGCAATTTGTCAATTACAGGTTGGGTTTCCGGCCCTGGCACTGGTTCCTATGGAGATTCTGGCTTGCCGGTTTTTCACTGTTCTGGTAAGTTGTGATTCTCTGAATCTGCCTGCCTGTCTTTCCAATTTTTAGTGTAGTGGTTTGCCTTATGACCTCACTTCTCTAACAGACCTAAGAATTGTTGATTTTTCAGTTCATTCCACTTTTCACTTGTTGTTAGGGCAAAGTGGTGACTTCTAAATGTTTACATGACAGGCCGGACGCCAGAAATGTTAAGATAATTTGTATTCCTCTAGCTGAAAATATGGCGACCTCTGTCACCTACAAAGGCAATAATTCCTGAAAAGTTCAGCCTAAGTCGAGTTTGGGGGAAGAAAAAAAAGGTGTTCACATTTTTGGAGTATTTGTTCTGTATGAGGTAATTTGCACTCCCTACTTCCCACAATAGTAATTCTTAGTGGAATCATCATCATCATTTTCTAGAACATAAAACCTACGCTCAAAAGAGGTAGCAAGTTATCAAAAAACCACATATTAAGAACTAGAAATCACTTTACTGGCTTTTAAAATAATGCAAATTTACTGAGCACATGCTGTGTACCAGGCTGTGTGACAGGCATGTGACACACACAGAGAGAACAAAGTCCCTGTGGTATAGGAAGATGTTACAACACAAGGTTTTGTGGGCCCCCTGAGTAGGTGGCCCACAAAGTTCAGTAGGTGAACTGAACCTGCAACAAGAGAAGGTCTTCCTCAAGAAGCTTGGTCTTGAAGAAGCATGAGTAGGGGTTATCTGGGGCAGAAGTGATGGGGTTGGTGCAGCTTCCATACAGAAGAAAGGGAGTGTGCTAAGCACAATCCATTTGGGGAACTGTAAATGGCTTGGTGTGCCTGGAGCATTCAGTGTATTTTGGAGATTGGCAAGGGATGAGTTTGGGGATTGGCAAGGGATGAATCATATTTAAAGGTACCCATGGTCACAGTAAGAGGTTCCACTTTAATTCTGACATCAACGAGGAGTCAAGAGGGTTTTAGGCAGTGGAATGTCATGACTGGCTTTTCTTTGCAGAAAGATGATTTTGATGTGTGAGGAGCCAGAGAAGCATGCTGGTTAGGAAACTGAATCAGTGGGTCCCAGTGGGGAAGGCTGAGGGTTTGTGAACCAGGGTGGCAGCAGTGGGCCTGGAGAGGTAAGGAGCGATTCCTGCACAGGAGAACTGACTAGCTTCTTCATCTCACTGATGGAGGGAGGGAGGGAGGGAGGGAAAGGAAGAAAGCTAGGAAGACGCCCTTGTTGTTGGCTTGGGCAGCTGGGAGAATGGTGGGATCATTCACAGAATTACAGAAAACAGGAGGAAGAACAGATTTTGTGGGGGAAGATGGTGAGTTTGGTTTAGGACGTGTTGACTTTGAGATGCACACGGGAAGTCCAACCATTGCTGTTTAGCAGGCAGACATATGCAAAATCATGGCTGTGACTGTGCTTCTCAAAAGAGAACATGTGCAGTGAGATGTGAAGGGGCCAAACACCCACGTTTAAATAATGAACTGACAGAGAAGAGTCAGCAAGGAAAGCAGGAATGAGTGAGTCGGGAAGTATGAGGGGCATGAAAAAAGAGCAAGCACATGGGGAGGCGGGGCACGGGCAAGGGCTTTGTGACCTGGGCTGGCTCAGGGCTCACAAAATAGATCTCTCCCTCCTTGACTCTAAATAAGCTCCGTTTTCTAGCCTTCTTACCTTAGAGAGAGCCAGAGACTGGAAATATCAAATGAATGTGAGAGGAGGTAATGTGTGTAATTAAGAGCGGGTCTGTTTTCCTCATGCTCTTTTCCTTCGCATCTATGTTCCTTTTGGAAGTCATATGTAAAAAATACCTTTAGAAGGAAAACACTCTGATTTTGAGTTTTATTTGTTACTGTAGCAGAGCCTAGCCTATTTTTCCTGGCCCTGCTTCTACAATCAGACAGCTGCATTTGAATTTTGTTTTTACCTTTGGCCAGTTATGTGACCTTGAATAACTGGCTTAATTTCTTTTTTGAGGAGGAGAGAGAAAGAGAGAGAGAGAGAGAGGAAGGGAGGGAGGGAGAAAGAGAAATGCTGATTTGTTGTTCCACTTATTTATGTATTCATTGGTTAATTCCTGTATGTGCTCTGACTGGGGACCAAACCTGCAACCTTGGCATATTGGGATGATGTTCTTACTCACTAAGCTACCCTGCCCAGGGCCTAAACAGCTTAATTTTTATGTGCCTCAGTTTCCTTATTGGGATAGTAAGATAATAACAATAAATAATGAAATATATTTTATTTTCATAATAAAATAGATTTTATTTTCATAAAAACATTTTAAACAATATATAATAAATAATAATATCTATCTCATATTATTTAGGATAAAATGGGGTAATAAATGCGGAGAATTTAGAACACTATTAAATAGAAATGTTGGAAGCTCATGGAGAGAAGAATGTTGAGAATGCGGGATGGGTTACAGATGGGGACAGCAAACTACCGGGGCTGCCTTCTCACTTTTAATATTTTATTTGTCTTCTGTTCTTATTTTTTACAATAAGGCAGCCCTGGCCAGTGTGGCTTAGTTGGTTGGAATGTCATCTTGTAGACCAAAAGGTCACAGGTTCGATTCCCAGTTAGGGCACATACCTGGGTTGCAGGTTTGATCCCCAGTCTGGACCCATAAGAGAAGGCAGCCAATCGATGTTTCTCTCTAAATGCCAAGTCTTTGCTCAAATCTCTTATCTTTAATGAGGCTATAGGAGTTAATATTGACCATTCCATTTAATAGTGGAATCTGTCCCCCATCCTGGCATTCCTAATTCTTTCACCTTGTTCTCCTTTTCCTTTCCTCATAGAATCGATCAATTCTGACAATCTAGAGAATTTACTAATTTATTATGTTTATCGTTTACTGTGTGTATTCCTCACTAGGATGTAAGCTCCTTGCTTTTCTTATACCATGATATATTTCAAGTCCTTAAACAGTTCCTGGCACACAGTACATGCTCAATTAGTATTTGTTGAGTGACTAAATGGAAAAAGAATATGTGAGAATTTATTATTTTTTTAGATCTTAACTTAGGACTGGAGGCACTTCATGAATCTGGGGACTTGTCTTTTATCATATCTGTAAAATTCTCAACTATTATCTGTTAAAGCGCAGTCTCTGCTCCATCCACTTCATTCTTCTCCTCTGCAATGCCCTTTAGAATATGCCCAGTCATTCTATCCTCAGTGTCTCCTAAGTTCTTTCTTCTATTTGGCAACAATTTAGCTCTCTCTTTTATTCTAAGGCAATTTCCTCAGCTCTATCACTAAGTCTCTTTTTGGCTGTGTCTAGTCTACGATTCAACCTCTTAATTGAATTTTTATTTCAATGACGATTTTCTTTGTGTGCCAAGAATTTCTATTTCCTTTTCCTTTCTGCTTCTTCTTTTCCATTTTTACCCTGTACTTGTTTCATGGTTTCTAGTCTTCCCTTTATCTCTTTGATACTTACAATATTGCTATCTTAAGATTTCTTTTAGACTTTTCTGTTAGTTCCAGTTTTGAGGGTATGAAGCCTTTCCTTCGTTGAACCAGCTAGAAATCTTGTTATGGTTTATTTTTTTGTGCATCCTGTACTTTTGGATTGTGAGCTCAACTTCAATAGTGATTATTTGGCATTTGCCTCTGCTGATGTGTTAAGGGCTAGCAACTGAAAAGGCTGCAAAAATGTACCAGCAAATGGCCTGTCTTTGGAAGCTAGGAAGGGAAGCAGGGCATGTGCTTGAAGTTTATGTCCCTACTGTGAAACCTGCTGTATAACTGTGAGCAAATTACTCTTTGCTTAATTTTCTTATCTATGAAATAGAGATATAATAATTCCTATTTCCTAAAGATGTTCTGAGGAATTAGTGAGATAATCCAATTAAGAAACTTTGCATGATGTTTGGTATGTATTAAGTACCTAATGAATGCTAAAATATTATAAGTATGCAGTAGTCATTATATCACTCAACATCTTGCTTTGTGAAATAAGGAAATAAAACTTAATGCTTGTGAAAATAGCTTCTGAATATGTATATGAAATGTCTAGCCAGCCATTAAATTTGGACAATTGTCAGATCTATCTGCTTTCCTCGTGACATATATTAGTTGAAGATGCGGGAAAACATGCCAGAACATGTTTGCTTGGCTTTCAGCCATGGAAGAGGAGCACTGATGAGAGGCAGGAGGAAGTTTCAGACACTATCCTTTTCAAAAAATAAAGCCCAACTGGAGAGCTGGATAATTTGCCAACTATTTTGCATCATTAAAATATAGCAGTAGGAAGAGTTCTTCTGATAAGAGGAAAGTGACCCAGGTAAATTTCTTTGCTTTTACTCAAATAGAAAATATATTTAAGTCCCCAGCTGCATGTCCTTGACCATCAGTCTGGTTGAAAGGTTAGAAAGAGAAAAGCAGAGCCTGAGCCTGTAGCCAGTGCCTAATAAACACCTTTGGTTTATTGCTGGTTAAGGGGTAGAGATACAAGCAAATTCTTGGGCAAGATAACTCATGTAACCTCATTTCTGTCATGTGTAACTTTTAACTACAACCCTTTCCTTAATTAATTGCCATTTTGGATCTGTGGACAAAGAGGAGCTAAAGGACCAGATTTAATGAATGAAAGCTGTGGGCTACTATGATTTGTCATGGGATATATGTGACAGTGAACATTTCAAAGAACAATTTATAATTCTAATTTTCATGAAATGTTAACAAAGGGTAACATTAAAAATATTTAAACAGAGAAATGTTCTTAGATTCTAATTACCTGATCTTCGTAGTCAGATCCTGTATCAATGACCTCTCCGGTGTCCAACATCATTGAAGGATCAGTGTCACCCGAACCTAAGATTAGGAAAGAAAAGGTTACCTGATGGAGGCCGTCTGTGTATGTTTCTAAAGCAAATAATCTGCCATTAGGTTTCCATATTGTCCTTATGATCACATTAACTTTGCAAAGATTTCGAGATTCTTCCCTTCTGCCAGGCATTATTGGGCCTGCAGATGGAAAATGCAGATGTTGTGGACACTGTGTCCACCCTTAAGAAGACAGTCTTGTGAAGGAGATGGATTTGTCAAAAGTAAGTTGGGAAACCAAAAAGAAAAGGGCTACTAACTCTGACTGGTAGTGGAGGAGATGGTGGAGGTGGGATTCTTCACAAGAAACTAATCCATCAGTCTGAACTGTGAGGGTGCTAGTGGTGTCCAGGAGGAAGGCAGTTTGGTGGGGTGCGGCGGAAACTGAGGTAAAAGGAACAGCATGAGCAAAGTCCAGAGTGGAAGAAGAACAAAGAGTTCTTAAAAACAAGGAATGCTAAGTTTGCTCAGTCCATGAAAGCCTGAGTTTTTCCTCCAGCGTCACCTTAATCCCTGAAGGTGAGAAAAATTGGGTCAATTTAATGTATTAATAGCTTTTTCCTCCCTAGGCACTACAGGTTACATTGAATTGCTTACCAGTGAATCCCCAGGGCTCAAACTTAAACTGGTAACGTTCATAGCGGGACTCCTGCAGCACAACTGATTCGTCGTCCTCATCTAATGACTCTTTCCTGCTGGGAAATACAGGAGTGGGCAAATGCAGATTTACAGGCGTAATGTGAATAGATAATGCAATTAATATATAATAATGCAAAAATAAACTCTGTGTTTTGCATACTCATTACTGTATACCTACTTTTGCCCACTCCTGTGTATATCACCTAACTAGCCAGAGACACAGAATTCAGGGCCACGCACTCTGTGAAGAAATAGCTACTCCACGTTTCATTTTAAACTTGGCCTTGCCGAGTAATTCTTGGCCACACACTATGCAATGAGTAATGTTTAGTGAAGATGGATTTTTTAAACAAAAACATCAAGAAACTCACTCTCCTCTCAGACATGGACCTTTCTAGAAAATCTGCTTTCATGCTTTCTTTTCAAAAAGAGGATCAAGGTAAGTCCTCACACAGTCTTTTTTCAATTCTTTCTTCTCATCATCAGTCCTGCTGTGTTCACCAAACTGACTAAGCACTGAGCAGTGATACTATCATTTACCATTTGTATCTTTAAAAAAATATTTTTTTCAAGGATGATAAAATTTTTCAAAGTGGAGATATTTGGCCCATCAGACCATTTTAGAAAAGCAACCAGCAATAGAGTTGCCATGTACAGTTGCGTGGGTGTGTGCGGCACAACTGCAGGTGATGCCGACTGCACAGTCAGCACGGCCTCAAGGATCCCACTGTGAATGAGGTGCGTGCTAGACTGGGTTTGGGACGGCTGCGTGCCTCACACAGTGAGGCTAGGTGGGTGATGCAAATACTTCAATTACATGTGTAGTTTTTAAAAGTGGGATTACATATAACTTCCCTATCGTTGTGCTTTTGGTATTTTTCAAGTAAAGATTTTTTTGTAAGGTGTGTCTTAGGGCCAAGATACTTGACTGTCTGAAAGCCCAGTTTAAAGATCAGTTTGCACTTATGTGTTATAAGGCAGTGAAGAGGTCAGAAGTAAAATGTATATTTTTTCATTATAAGATCATGGGCATTTTAGAACCAGTATTTCACAGAATCCCAGTTCTTCATTTCAGAAAAGAGAAAAATGAGCTGCAGAGAAGTTAAGTAACTTGGCCATTCAGATTATGCAGAACGTGAGATGAAGACAGAAGCCACAGCCCCCATTTCTCCTAAGACATTCCGCTGACTCCGAATCCTAAGCAGGAGCCATCCCAAACGGCTTCGTAAACGTGACTTTCCATGCTAGCACTCAATAGGAGAGCACCTGGGGGAGGCTGCCATCTCTTCTACATTCTGAGAAAATGAGGAGCAGTGAATGGCTGACGATGAGGCAGGTGCCTGGGTGGCTGCGGAAATGGAAGAATTAGAAGTAGAATCAAGGAGTGTCACCCCAGCCTGTGACAATCACGGGGCTGCTAGTAACAGCACCATTCGAGGTGATGGCAATTTTATTTAGTTTTCATTACTTCCACAGTATGGATATTATCCACCACTGACTACTGGAAGTGGTGATAGGCACTCAAATGACTTCCTCACCTTGCATATGATTATGGTGATTCATGTGAGGTGAGCAATGTAATACAAACACAAAGACTTATTAACCATATAGCTGTTATAGTTCCTGTGTTCTACTTACTTTATTTAGTTAGAAACTGTTCTTTTGGTTGTTTTTTTAAAAAGTACATACCCTGGCTGGTGTGGCTCAGTGGATTGAGTGCCCGCCTGTGAACCAAAGAGTTGCTGGTTTGATTCCCAGTCAGGGAACCTGCCTGGGTTGTGGGCCAGGTCCCCAGCAGGGGATGTACAAGAGGCAGCCACACATTGATTTTTTTCTCCCTCCCTTCCCCTCTCTCAAAAAATAAATAATTTTTTTAAAAAAGTACAAAGCGAAATCCTCTTAGACAACCCAGTTAAGAGATATTACACATTAATATTTGAAACTGGAACAAGATTATTAGAAAACTATTATCATCAAGAGAATGAATAGATCTTTATTTTTTTAAAAAAATGAACAGAAAACAACCTGTGCTTACAAGGAAGAAGAGATTGACTTTCCCAATAGAATGCTTTCTGCAGAAATTTTATTGTATCATAAAGGGATGGGATTTCTTGACAGGTTGTTGCCCTTGGCAACAGTGCTAATATATCATAGAAGGCAATAGACAAAGGATGTTATTATCAGCTCAGATAATGACTGAATAGCTTTCATTTTCTTTTGTATTCGTTGCTTGGTTTGCTGAAAATGGGACCTTTAATAATAGCCTAAGGTTTGAAGTATGAAATAGGGAGGTAAATAGAGCCTTATGGACACATTTTTGCCTTCTTTCATTGGACAATTTAACATATAAAACAACTTCAGTGATCTTGTACTCAAAAAAAGAAAGCAAAATTAGGATATTTGAAAAAGTGATAGTATGGCTTTCACTTCCCCCAGTTTTGAATTTCTTTTCAGCTTTAAAAATATCCTTTCTATAGCTAACAGAGAAAAACATGAGCTGAAATAAAACCCCACAGGGAGCATCAGTGCCACCAGTTTTAGATGGAGAATGGTTTTTGGAAATATTATTTTCAGGCTGTCTCCTCATTAAGTGGGAAGACGATACAAATTGTCTTTAGATGTACCAGAAGGCAACCACACTGCTTCCTGGGCTAATGTTACAGACTTTTTCCTCCTAGTGGATCTTCAATCTGAAACTTGAGGAATGTCCTCCTCTCACTTTGAGTACCAGATAAAGAAACACTCCAGCAAGGCATGGCTTCTTGGGCAGAAAGGGATAAGATAAAACTCTAACACTTCATCTGTTCCTTTGAGGAAAGCAGTCTCTCCTTTGTCCTGTCTCTTCCAAGCATTTTTAGGTAGGGGTTATTTCATCTCTGATTCTAAGAACAATACTTAGAAATTCTATGTATTTGATACATTTGAGGTATTTCTGGAAAAAGTCCAGCCATTGTTAATATAATGAGAATGGTTTGCAAGACATCACTGTAACCTGGCAGCCAAGGAAAGTGGACTGGAATGAGCATGTGTTAGCAATGATGACTTCACTGTACTAGCCAGTGGGGGCAGAGTAGATACCATTGAGTGGGCATATATATTGTGGGGCCATCGCATTCAAAACAACTGAGAGAGTAGAGCAACGAATCCATAACAAGTTTTGTGTTAAGCTTCAACATTCCTCCATGGAAACTATTCAGATGATTCAGAAGGCCGCAGCTATGGATAACTGGTGATTGGCAGCATCATCACAACAATGTGCCCACTCATGCATCACGTCTCATGTTTCGTACAGTTTTTTGGCAAACCATCAAATCACCCAAGTGACTCAGCCCCCCTACATCCCAGATTTGGTGCCCTGTGACTTGTGGTTTTTCCCAAAACTAAAATCACCATTGAAAGGGAAGAGATTTCAGATGATCAGTGAGATTCAGGAAAATACGACCTGTCAGCTGATGGCGATTGGGAGAACTGTGTGAGGTCTCAAGCAAGATGCCTACTTTGAGGAGGATGAGGCATCATTGTCCTATGTGCAATGTTTCCTATAACTTGTATCTTCTTCAATAAATGTCTCCATTTCTCATATTACATAGCTGGATACCTTCTGGACAGACTTCAGATACGCAGAAGGAGTGAAAAATGAATAACAGAACATTTATATCTTATTTTTGCAGATCTTGATCTTCATTCACGCCACAAATATTAAATCCCCATAACAGGTATTACCCATGAGCACCTAGCTCTAATTCCAACAAGCGTGGAGAGTATGAGTAACAGTTTGCACTAGAACTCCTTTGAAGACTACTGCATATTTTTTGGAAGGGGGAATATGCTGACAGTATTTGGGACTAGAAAGTGAGCTCCTTGAGGGATGTGATATTAGTCAACTGTTCTGGGTAAGAAGGGAAGAGGTGATTTTTCAGTTCTTCCACGATGGGGTGTGAGGAGGAGGAAGAGAGAGAGGGAGAGTAGAAGCAGACCTAGAGGAATGGGGAAGAGCTGAATTACATAAGATGTGCTCTGCCCCTGTGTCTCCTCAACTCTTCAGAAAAGATACTATCACATATATAGTCTTTTCAATGTAACAGCCATATGGTTTTTAAAAAAATTCTTACTCGAGGACATTTTTTTTCATTGTTTTGAGAGGATGAGAAGGAGAAAGGGAGGGGGGAGGGGGAGTGGGGAGAGAGAGAAGATGAGGGGGAGAGAGACATTGATGTAAGATAGAAGCATTGATCAGTTACCTCCTGTCCATGTCCCAGCTGGGGTTTGAACCTGCAACCTAGGTATGTGCCCTGAATGGGAATTGAACCCACAACCTTTTGGTCCATGGCACCATGCTCCAACTGAGTAACACTGGCCAGGGGAAAATAGCCATATGCTTCATATACATATACATTTACTCTTCACAACAATTCTCTGTGGCTCACAGAGATTGAGTGCTGGAGCCGGATGGCCCTGCTAGAAGTATTGATGGAAGGCTGCAGAGAGGGGGAGACACTGCAAATGGGCTGGAACAGTGCAGAGGTTCAGGGTAATGACATTCTGTGGCATGGAGGCAACGCATGTACACTCTGCTCTGGAGCCAAAGAAAATTTGGTGTGGCTGTGAGTCATTATACCCAGATGAGTGGCCCAGCTGAGGTGACCAGTGGGGAAAGGCCTTATGTACCATCTCCCGTGAGATTCACACTGAGTATCAAACACACACACACACACACACACTATCCTTGTGAAGTCTTGTACTGTAAAAGGGAAATAGATTTTTTAACAAAAAAATCATTTCTAATTATATAACCACAAGTATGATAACTCACAAGTGTGATAAATACCCTGGAGGAAAAGGGCGGGGTACCACTCAAGGGCCTCATCTTGTCTGGGATGGGGCCTGAGAAGGCTTCCTGAGGAAATCATAAGGTAGGACCTGACCAGGTGAAGAACAGGGCTAGGACTCAGTAGAGCACAGTGATACAATGGGGCCAGGCATTTCCAAGTACCAGTTGCAAATGGCCAGAGGCAGGCAGATACCTGATATTCAAGGGCCCAGTGAAGCTGGTGTGGGGTGGTGGGAGAGGTGGTGCCGTAGAGAGAACAGGGCCACTTTAAAAAGCTGAGGATATTTCTGCCATGTTAAGGATACTGGTGCTCAGCCTGAAGGAAAATCATTGAAAGTTTTGTTTTATTTTTTTTGTCAGGGAGGCAGGATGATCAGCACTGCATTTTAAGAGGATGCCCATGGCAACAGCAAGATATATGACAGACGGGAGAGGCCAGGATGTGCAAGGAATGACATTCACAGCCTTCGATGCGTGTGGTGGAGACTGAGAACAAGAACTGGACTCCCAAGGCATCCCTGAGGATGGATGATCAGTGTGGGCTGCGAGCGTAGGCACAATTTTGGCTGGCTCTCTTAAAAGAGAAAAACTGCATGATCTCCCTGATATGTGGAATCTAAAAATGTCAAGTAAATAGAAGCAGAACAGAATGATGGCACAGACATGCTGGTGGGGGGAGTGGGAAGATGCTGGCTAAAGGTGTACAAAGTGGCAGTTAGGTAAGATGAGTAAGTCTGCAGGTCTAATGTACAGCATGATGACTTGAGTTAGTAATCCTCTTTGAATGCTGGAACTTTGCTAAGAGAATATATTTCAGGTGCCACTGATCACACACAGAAAAGTGGCAACTATGCATGCCAATTAGTTTGCCTGTAGCAATCATTTCCCTCTGTATATGTATGCCAAATCCTCATGCTGCACATCTTAAATACAAATTTTATATAAAAAAATTAAAGGAAGAATTGAAAGCTAATCATATGGAGGTGACATGACAGCTGTAGGGCAGCTGAGGCTCTACAGACAGGGTTCAGAGAGGAGAGAGTAAAGGGACAATAGCTGGTGGCTGACAATTCACAGAGCAGAGGGCACTGACAAGGCCTGTTCAGCTGGGCGAGTCACCGACTTTCACAAGCCTGGAAATGCAGCTTTCTACACCCTACAGGTTCAGCTTTCTGTTTTCTCTTGAAAGAGACAAGGGCCTAGCAACATTGGCCCATTCCTCAAGGACAACAATCGCTTGGAGTGGCAAAGTGGCTGCCTCCTGTAGGGGAGGCATCGTTTATTTCTAGTTTACCACAGTCCCTCCTGGGCTTACTTCACTCACCAAGGGGTTATAGCCAGAGCAGGCTTATATGAAGGCTGGTGCAGAAACTAGCTTTCAGGGACTCGGGAGTGGAAGGGAGATAGAGGGGGCTGGAGCTGTGAGCACAGTCACCCTCTGTGATAAGCTCAGAGGTGTAGAGAAGGAAGAGTAGGTCCCTTCAAACCTGTGCTAAGGGCAGGCACAGGGCACTCTGCCAACGGAACCTGGAGAGGATGAGGGCACAGTGCCTGACCTCAGGCAGTTCACCGACTAGCACAGAAGCCAACACGGCTGCCTTATCGCAGGAGGAGGCCACTTTGGAAAAATGCCACTCGAAAGCCACAAAATGCTGGCAGCTCTAAAAAGGGGCAGCATAAATCTGCTCCTCCACCCCACTCTATTAGCAAACCAAAGATATCTAGCAATTAGATATTTGTTGTTAGAGGTCTAAATAAGTGTTTTAAATAAAATATTAACTTAAAAAGCACAGGTGTCATAGCGTTTTTCAGAGCAGCAGCAGTCTTGTTTACATGATCTTCCTGCCTCCCAACAGTCCATCTTTCCCTGCAACAGGTCACCTCTTGTAAATGTCACTGGAAACTTAAGCAGGTGAGTTTACATCACTTATCTGTGCTCTGTGGGTCTGCGAAGGACTACTGCCTCGCCTTTTTACTCCGCCTGTCTTTGTGGGCTCTTAGTGGGCTTTAGATATTGGTTTAAAATTTTAAGTGTTTAGCCTTTTTCTTTACAGCCCAGAGCTTTATGATCTTTACCCACTGAGGCTGTAACTGAGAAAAATCATCAGGGCTGGGCCAAAATTTGAGAGTCATTCACACAGAATTGATAGTCAAGGCCTAGTGGGACGATGAGTTGATCCCAAGGGCAAAGAGAGAGAGAGAGAAGGGTCAAGGGCAGAACCGCGAGAACTGTCTACTACAGGGTAGGATTGCTCTGCATTATCATCCAATGTCAAATGTCATCAAACTTCTAGGCAAGAGTACTAGGAAGAGAAAGGGCAGAGCCACAGCTGGGACCGTGGGTCAGGTAGGAGTGGCTCTCAGATCCAAGAGGAGGTTGTTGCCAGGAGGCAAAGGAGAGAGACCTGTGTGGTAACCCACACAGGTTCCCTGTAGGGAATCCTGGAAGAATCATAACTTGGAATTCTCGCACAAAGCAGAGGCTAGAATAGATTTTTTCAGTTATAGTAATATAGGTCTTCTGCTACATTGTGACTTCCTGCTAGTTTACGTGTGTAAATGATTGGAAGAAATGCAGTAACTGTAAGAGCCAGAAGTATAGTCCTTTTCTTTTTTGTTTTGTACCTTTATTTTTGGACCAGAAAGTATAAAGCCCTCTGGACAGGGTCATCCTTGAAACCTTATGGCAGTTTGTTGAGCTTGAACCTTAATACCAAGTCCCAGACACTTGGCAGGTGATCAGGACAAACTGTTGCCCAAAGGACACAGTGACTTACCTGCTGCAGCCTCTTTGTTTGGAAATAACTTGCTGTCAACTGCCACGCTGATGTCATAGAACACCTCATCCTCGTCTCGGTCAGCATCAAACTGGGGGAAATCAGGACAGACGAGTTGGGAACATGAGAACACATAAATCAATTCATTCCAAAATGAAATAAGCATGCTTCACGCAGTTGTATCCGTAATGAAGCAGGACCATGGGAACGAAAGCTCTTGAGTCCTTAATCAGACAGAGAGTTTTTTAGGCCAGACCTCATATCAAACAGAAAGGGGTATTAGGGAGTAAATTAAACTGGTAAATTAGGCAATAGTACAGTCAGTTATGGTTAAAAAATGTGTATAATGTTCTTAATTTATAAAGTAATTTTTTGTAAAAAGGAAAACTGAAATTTACTTTGTGTCTTTCTGGCTTAGTATTTTTTTAGTTTAAAAAAAAACTCATGAGCCCTGGCTGGAGTAGCTCAGTGGATTGAGTGTGGGCTGCGAACCAAAGTGTTGCAGGTTTGATTCCCAGTCAGGCCCCATACATGGGTTGCAGGCCATGGCCCCCAGCAACCGCACATTGATGTTTCTCTCTCTCTCTCTTTCTCCCTCCCTTCCCTTTCTAAAAATAAATAAATAAAATCTTTTTTAAAAAAGTCACTTAAAAAAAACTCATGAAAATATGTAGTTTTAAATCACAGGGTAAATGATTTTTTTCTCATATATTGTTAAAAAAAAAGAAAGAAACCCCAAACCAAATTTTAGTTAGCATTCTAGATACTGTAAATACTAATAGATGTATAATCTATAGACACTACAGATTTAGATGTAATACAAATTACAGAATTAAATATTTATTTTACCATTCTCTAAAACTTACAAAATTAAAAAAATTGTTATATTTATAAATCCTCTATTTTCTAAGCGGTGTGCAGTTTATCCAAACACACTTTTATCTTTTTAGTTTTTAAAAACAGCTTTATTGCCCTGACTGGTGTAGCTCAGGCTCAGTGAATTGAGCGTGGGCTTGCCAACCAAAGGGTCGTGGTTCGGTTCCCAGTCAGGGCATATGCCTGGGTTGTGGGCCAGTTCCCAGTGGGGGATGCATGAGAGGCAACCATACATTGAGATTTCTCTCCCTCCCTCCTTCCCTTACCCTCTAAAGATAAATAAATAAAAAATAAAAAAACAGTGTTATTGAGTTATAATTGATATACAATAAACTGCACATAAAGTGTAGTTCTGAAATCTGCATACATCTGTAAAACCATAAACATCAAAATGGTGAACATATCCATCACCCCCAAAAGTTTTGTTGTGTCTCTTAGAAATCCCTTCCTCCTGCCCACTACCAGGTAATCACCGGTTTGCTTTCTGTAACTATAGATTATTTTGTACCTTCTAGAATTTTATATAAAATAACTTTTACAGCATTCCATCCTTTTGTCTGGATTATTTCACTTAGCACAATTATTTTCAGATTCGTCAATGTTGTATCCATAGTTCATTTGTTTTCATCGCTGAGTTCTATTTCATTGTATGGATCTACTGTTAATCCCATTCTGGATATCTTTCAGCAGAGACATTATAGTTTTCATTTCTAGATGTTTGATTTGAGTCTTTAAAAATATTTTTTTCATGCCCTGGCTGGCGTAGCTCAGTGGATTGAGTGTGGGCTGCGAACCAAAGTGTTGCAGGTTCGATTCCCAGTCAGGGTACATGCCTGGGTTGCAGGCCATGACCCCCAGCAACCGCACATGGATGCTTCTCTCTCTCTCTCTTTCTCCCTCCCTTCCCTCTCTAAAAATAAATGAATAAAATCTTTTAAAAAATATTTTTGTCACTATTTATGGTCTGAACATCTGAGATACAATTACAGGAACTTAAATTTTTTTTATTGATTTGAGAGAGAGAACACATCAATTTATTGTTCCACTTATTTGTATATTCATTGGTTGATTCTTGTATGTGCCCTGACCAGGGATTAAACCCACAACCTTGGCATATAGGGACAATGTTTAACTAACTGAGCTACTTGGCCAGGGCCAATTACAGGATGTTAAATTTTAACATCCTTCTCTTCTAATTCTAACATTTGGTGTCAGTTCTGAGTCGGTTTTGATTGATTTTTTTCATTATTATGATCGTATTTTCCTGTTTCTTTTCACATCTGGTACATTTTTCTTGGCTACCAGGCATTGTCATTTTGACCATGTCAGATGCCAGGTATTTTTGTATTCCTATAAATATTATTCAGCTTTGTTCTGGAATGTAGTTTAATTACTTAGAAACAATTGGATCCTCTCAGGTCTTGTTTTTAAAGATTTGTTGGGCTCGACCAGAGCAATGTTTAGCTCTGGCCAAATATTTCCCACTGTAGAGACAAGATTATTCTACGTCCTCTCCCCAGTGCCTTGTGAATTAATAAATTTTTCGGTCTGACTGGTAGAAATAGTCACTCTCTCTCCTCCAAGCCCGGTGTGAGCACTAGCTACTACTGTTCCCACTAATTCTCTCGGGTGATTTCTCTCCCTCAGGTTCAAGTAGTTCTCTCACATGCATGCACTGATTAGTTCTCTGCTGAATACTGAAAGGGAGCCCTCTGCAGATCTCCAGTGGTTTCTGTGCACTCTCACATCTCTGATACTCTGTGCTCTGACCTCTAGCCACCTTGGTCTCTTGGACTCTCAGCTCCATCTGCGCAGCTCACAGAGTGCACCAGTCTTCACAAGGCTTCCTTCTCCTGCACTGCAGCCTGGAGACTCTCCAGCACTAAGCTGGGGCAATGGCAGGGCTCACTGCACTAGTTTCCCTTCTCTCAGGGAATCATCTCATGCCCGATGTCCAGCATCTTGCAAATTACATACATATGTTTGTTTCATGTGGGAGAGAAAATCCAGTCTCTCTTATTCCATTTTTGTCAGGAGTCTCAATTCTATTTTTTTTTTTTTAGGATAGAAATAACCAACTTTATTTTATTTATTTATTTTTGGAGAGGGGGAGGGGAGGGAGAAAGAGAGGGAGGGAAACATCAATGTATGGTTGCCTCCAGCGCACCCCCTACTGGGGACCTGACATGGCCTGCAACTCAGACATATGCCCTGACTGGGAATTGAACGGGCAACCCTCTGCCTCGCAGGCCAGTGATCAATCCACTGAGCCACACCAGCTGGGCAGGAGTCTCAATTCTTTAACTTTCAATCTTAATTATTATCTTGAAGATACTTAGGAAGATTCAAATGATTTACTCCTTTATATTTTTTCTGCTGAAGTGTTTGATTGTTTTTATTATTTTTAATCCACACCTGAACATATGCTTATTGAATTTTAGAAAGAGAGGAAGGAGGTGGGGGGAGAGAGAGAGAGAAATGGATGTGAAGGAGAAACACCAGTCGGTTGCCTCTTGTATGTGCCTTGACCAGGGATTGAACCTGCAACCTAGGCATGTGCCCTGACTGGGTATTGAACCTACCACCTTTTGGTTCACCAGACAATGCTCTAACTAACTTAACCACCTGGCCAGGGCTGAGGGGTTTCATTATTTTTAGTGAGGGAAATTTAGTAACTAAATTAAACCTGATTTAGTTTCTTTGCCTCCCCTTACACAGTTAAAACACATCTATACAGTGCTTCAAAGTGTTTCAGGGGTGTCCAACATTTTGGCGTCTCTGGGCCACACATTAAATACACTGCAACATGTAATCACAAAAAAAAATCTCATAATGTTTTAAGTTAATTTATGATTTTGTGTTGGGCCTCATTCATTGCCATCCTGGGATGCATGTGGCCCGTGGGCTGCAGGTTGGACACTGCTGGGTTGTTCGCTATGTCACATTAGCCTATGGGAAAGGAGAGGCAGGCAGTTTTCTTTCTATTTTGCAAGAGAGAAAATATCTACTCAGAGATACTACAGCTTTCTCAAGTTACACAGCTAATAGGCAGGAGAACTGGCACCTGAACTGAGGATGACTGACACTTTCCATCCTACTAGGCTGCAGAGACATTACAGTAAGACAAATACAGCCCTTCTGCTCAAGTACGTGTTAACACAGACTGTTTGTTTAAAAGCAATGGGGGAAAAGCGTGTGGTGGTCACAGGGCAGATACAAGGAGACCATGAGGGCACAAATAGTGCTATCTGAATGCACTGCTTTCTAATGCATATACCATGGCTGCTTATTTATTTATTTACTTATTTATTTTTAACTTTTCACATAGGGTTTACTATAAGCCTTCAGAAGGTCACCTTATCCAATCCAAAAGCTATCTTTAAGTGCCGTGGATCGCAGCCAGGGGTGCAAGAATCTGACTTTCTAAAACAGGTAACAACAGTTGAAAAACTGGAACTGAAAGCAAATAACTGCAACAAGGTATTCATTTCACACAAGCTGCCTGATCTTGTTGAGTGTGAGTACTAGGTCCGGCTACTCAAAAGAGCTGCCTCCCCTTCCTTTGGGTTCTTCTGTGGCACACTTGGACAGAGAAGGTTAATCTAGCTAATGAGCCCACGTTCCACCTGGACACAGTGAAGACTGAGGTATAAATGGAAGCAGCAACTGGTGCAGTTCGCCTGGCCAGGGGACGTGAGAGAGGACGTTCAGAGGTTAGGCTATGGAGCATTCAGGTATTTCTCATTTTACTTCAGTGCGATAGCCTTTTGCGGTTAGTGAAAGGAAGGTAAACCTGGATGTTACTATAAAACTTAGTTTAACGAATATTTAAAGAATTCAAAAATTTTTTGCCTCTCTTGTAATTTAGAGCTCTTCTTATGTACATTGTACTGTATGCAAACAGGGTACCTAAACAAAACTTTCGATCCTTAAAGCTACATCCAGGTTTATGACAGTAATTGTGTTTACGTTTTATGATGTCAAGTATTGACAAATGTTCTATCCCTGTATTAAATAGATGAATCCATAGATGTTTTTGTGGTGGGTTTATTTCCTACAATGTATACTCTCAGTAATCTTACATAAATTATTTATCATTGTAAAGTCAGGAATGGGGAACAAAATTGAGAAAATACTTATCCATTTTTAAGACCTGTTCAGTACTACCAATTATAAGGCCAAATGGGGGAAGAAAGGAAAATATATATGATACTCAGGAGGGTACCTGCAGTGTCATTAGCTGCATTGTGCAAAGATCTTCTGGTATAGTTGTAGAGAAAACATTAGAACAAATGAAGACAGAAATACACATTTTATACCATTCGATTAGCTTAGGGCTGTTTATTTTACTTTCAAAATAACCTGTTAACTATCATCATAAGGGGTAACATCTACTAAGAAGGGTATTGTTTTCACTTTTTCTTGGACTTTTGAGGGATGGTGGATCCCTTTATAAATGAAAGGGCATACACTTATGTTTAGCCAGGGATCCCTAGAGAACAGAGCCTACTGACAAAACTCATAGGTGTGAACCTTTATTAGGGGTGGTGTGTGTGTGTGTGTGGTTGCACATTTGAGAGGGAAAAAGAGAAGTGAGGCAAAAAAGGAAAGAAAGTGAATTTAAGATAGTACATTACCAAGCTGGGTACCAGCTTTACAAGAAGACATTGCTGGTAGCTCGGTTTCCAGAAAGACTAAATGGACCCGTGACATCTCAGAACAGTGTGATGGGGGAGGAAGGGGGAGGCATTTATATGCTGGCTCCTTTCAGTTTTCTCTTTCACTGGCTCAACTTTTCCCTAACAAGGAGTTAGGGCCTCCTACCACTTCATTTTTCTGTTGCCTGGCCCCTGGGGTACCACTGGGAAGGCAGGCCCCCCTCCCTAAAGGTCAGCACAGCATCTGATCTGGACCTGCTGAAAGGAACCAAAGCCCCTGTGGGTCTGGCTGGGCCTGGGAGCCGTCTGTGCAGGGCTCCCACATTGGTGGGGACAATGAGGTGGCCGGCTAGAGTAGTCAGCCCCAATAGAGGTGCCTGGCTGGCCGGGCAGTGGTGGGCAGGGCTCTCCATTCAACGAGCAACTGAGGCCTGGTCATATGGGGCCAAATAAGTCAGGGCAGGCTTGCAGATGGAGCTCTCCTAGAGCTTGATCTGAATTTGCTTCCCTCTGTAGCAGCTGTCTGCCCTTGAGCAACTTATTTCCCTTGTGCTTAGTTAGCATCTGTATTATGGGTTGTGGTGAGGCCTAAGGAGACGGTATACTTAACACACAGCGCTGAGCTTGACATGCACTGTAGCCCTTTTTCTTTTCTCCTTGGGTCCTGAGGGCTGAGGGAGCATATCCTATTAGGGATCTTTGATCACTTCTGTACTTTGGACACACACACACACACACACACACACACACACACACACACATTTTTTTTAAACTTGGAAATTGAGGAATAAGTAATATAAAAGACCTCCTAGGAATTATTCTATCCACTAATGGATTTGAACAAAAGATCTGTTTAGTTCCAACACAGATTAAAGTATCTGACTGTTCAATATAAAAGGCAAAATGCAAAAGGTAAAACACCATTCATAAAAGCATATTTGCTGAGTAACTACTGTGTCCTAGTCTCCACCTGACAACTCCAAAGCTTCTGGATGATGAACAGGAGCCCTGAGGAAAGAAGGAGACAGTCACAGAGACAGCTCAACTCTGGGATCACCCAGATGCAGCTGAAGCTTGTTGACTCCTGCATTAGGACAGAATTTAGCCCAGATTTCCCAGTTTTACAACTCCAGAACTAGCATAGGACTCTTCCCTACAGTCTTTTAGCAGAAAATGTGGCAATATAGTTCTTAGAGAGTCTTCTGGTTGAGGACTATCAGAACAACCGCCACTTAATTGGCAAAGATTTTACAAAATGCTAACATTCAGTGTTGGAGAGGTTGTATACATAGGCAGTGGACAACCAGCTTCTAAATCATCAGATATGTTACTTATCTTTGATTTTGCACCAACCATACATATCAATGGTTTCAGCCAGGAGAACCTTTCAATTTTGTGTACCCCGTCTCCTTGCCCCATCATTTAGCAATATTGGGAGACAGACACTGGGGCCAGGGGACTCCTAGTTAAGGATGCTACTAAATGTCCTACAATGCACAGGACAGCCCCCTCCAAACAATGAATTATCCAGTCTAAAATGTCAGAGGCGCCAAAGTTGAGAAACCTTCACCTATATCAAAGGCATCTTAGCAATGTTTCTTTAGTTTTTTTAAAAAAGGTTTTGAGCCACAAAAGCCTGTAATGTTAACTTCAAAATACAAAGAATAGTAAAAGTGATAGTACTGCAGGGGCGGCATAGGTAAAGGGTGAAAAAGATTTTAGGACTAAAAGTTTATTTACATCTCACGGGTCAGAAGCAAGCCTCAGTGGGCAGGCGTCACCTTGTGCCACGAGGCAGGTGATGTCTGTGCGTGCTCCCTGCCCTGAAATTCTGTGATCAGATGAGCACTGTGTCTCTCCGGTGACTTGTGATGTACTGTCTAGCAATCTTGACAAAGCTCTTTTTATTCTGAGAAGAAGAACTCACAGAAGACACGGTCTGCATAATCTGTTTTGTGTCCTTTAATAAGAGGACTGGGGAGGTCAAATGGAAATTTCAAAATAAAATGCTTTCCAAATTCCCTAGTTCATTCAAATGTTTAATTTGAATAACAAATGTTGTAACAGCTTTCAAATTCATACAAAATTTATCTAGATTAGGAATGGAAATTATAGTATAAGGAGTAGGATCCGTCTGAGGCACCACGCTGATGGTTTGCATTTTTAATGGCAGAAATGAGTTTGTGTTGTCTTTTGGCTTTCAGGCTGCAACAGGCTGCCCAGATCTGCTCCCCAGAGACAAGGATTTCTACTTTCTTACCTCTGTTAGCTGCAAATGTTAGGTCCATAAAACATCCTAAATGTACTTGAAAGGGAGTATATCAGTTCAGTCTCTCTTTCCAGATTCCACCTTTTGTTAAACTTAGGCCTGTCTCCAAGTTTTCTGTCCCATTATTTCAGAAGGAAATAAATTGGCTCTGTTATTAGTTTCGCCTCAGTTTTATATATCCCGTAAGTATCATTCTCTGAGCATCAAAGCAGCTTCTTGAATTTTTTACTACTCCCCAGTTTCGAGTAAGGGATTTCAATTAAGCATCCTCTCTACCAGTGGCTTTCATCACTTGCTATTAGACATCCCTCAACATGCAAGTAACTCACTTTTCAAATTTTCCTTTTAAATTTTTTTTATCCCCATCTGAGGACATCTTTTCACTGCTTTTAGAGAGAGGGAGAGGGAGAGGGAGAGGGAAGGAGGTGGGGAGGGGGAGATAGAGAGGGGTGGGGGTGGGGTTGGAGAGAGAGAAAGAAAGAAACACTGAATGGTCACTTTCTTGCATGTACCCAGACTGGGGATGAAACCTGTAATCTGGCTATGCACTGTGACTGGGAATCAAACCCACAACCCTTATGTCTACAGGATGACACTCCAACAAACTGAGGCACACTGGCCAGGGCTAAATTTTCTTTTTTATAGGTTTAGGGACTTCCCTTTACATGTTTTTTTAATCATCAGTATAGAATTGTTCTATTTTTTCACACTTATCATGCCATGAATTCATGGGAAATGGGTTCCAATAGCTCAGGCTCCTTTCCATTGGTTCTTACAAAGTGTGCTTCTCTGGGTAGAGCAGGCTGACGCTTCCCTTGAACCCAGGTGCCTTTCTCTTTGGCTTCCTTCTTTTTCTGATAATTTTCCTTCACATGTTTCAGGAAGCTATCTCGACTCTTAGAGTGCTTAATATGCTCAATTCGTACATCAATTCTCTTGGCAAAAATCTTGCCCTTAACTTGTTTGTTCACAACAATGCCCACTGCATGTTGGGTGACACTGTAGACTCTTCCAGTTTTGCCCTGGTGACAATTGTGGGGCATTCCTTTCCGAACAGCGCCCACTCCCTTGATATCTACATTATCACCTTTCTTGTAGATCCGCATGTATGTAGCCAAAGGAACAACTCTGTGTTTTCTAAAAGGCCAGGAGAACACATAACAGGTACCTCTCCTCTTTCCCTTTGTGTTAGTTATTTTCGTGAATTACTGGAAGGTGGCAGTTCTGGCTGAAAGGCCCATTAAATGTTTGATTGTTTGGTATTCTTTTTGTCCAACAAAAATGGGAGGTTCCACTAAAATAGTAATAATTTTAAAAATGTGCGGTAACTGGAGTGAAATTTGTATTTGTCAGCAGTGGAGTAATGATAATTTATATTATTCTGCAGACCCATGTTTCTAAAGCTTCATAATTAATCACAAAATGAGAAAGAGAAACAGCTAAGTGGATGTGGTGGGGATGGGGAGGGACAATACTCTGTCCGAGGAAGCCAAGCCAAAACCATGTTTCGATGAGCAGAATCCTTATGGAATGGCCCTGCTCAACCGAGATGTGCAGAACATATTTCCTAACAATGAAAAAAAAACAAACCATGAAAGAAGACAGCTCTCAAAACAGACATGACAGGTATGCTAAGTGATGAGAACAGAACACTAGAAAGCTGTAGCTATCTGACTAAAAGTTTCTTCTTTTCTCAGCTTCTTGTACAGAATCTTTATTTCACTGGATATTTAGATTGTAGACAGCATCTAGAATTTTGCCGGGAAACACTCAACACTATTAAGAGATTTCAGAGAAAATGGTTGCAATAGTTATGAGGTGTTTCAAGAAAAAATTTCTTCCTTAACTTGAAACCTTAACACTGCCATAATGACTGATTTGTCCTGCTATAGAGACCTAGAAAAGAGGCCTGAATTCAGATTACTTTGATTCCCCTTGCTATGCTAGCTCTGAAGACATATTTCAGGATCTTCATCAGCACTCAATAACAAAAGGACACTAAATAAAACACAAAGTAATGCTATTTTTAAGCATCTCTTTTTTAAAAGCATTTTTTAAATCCTCACACAAAGATGTTTATTTTTTCTTGATTTTTAGAGAGAGAGGAAGCAGGGTGCGGGGCGGGGCGGGGGGGAGAGAGAGAGAGAGAGAGAGAGAGAGAGAGAAACATCAAAGTGAAAGAGAAACATCGAACTATTGCCTCTTGTACATTCCCCTACTGGGGCTGGAACCTGCAACCTAGGTATGTGCCCTGACCAGGAATCGAACCCACAACGTTTTGGTGTATATGACAACACTCTAATCAACGGAGCCACCAGGCCAGGTCTAAGTATCTCTAATGTGCCATGCATTCTTAGAGGTTTTTTGTTTTATACTTTTATCATTCCCTATAGTATGATTAAAAAGAGGTGATATTACCTTCAGATGCAAACACTGAGCCTCAGAAATTAAGTAACTTGTCCTAGGTCATGTAGGTGGTTGAACCAGGATGGAGTCTATATCCATCCACATGGAACTGTGAGCCCCAGCACCCACCCAGGCTGTGAGGGTCAGCTCACAGCCTCAGATCTTAGCTGGGCACTTGCAGAGCAGATCAGGGCTTTCAGGAGCACTCTCAGGACAAACCACAGAGAATCCTCAGATGCTAGGCCACGCTGGGTCCAGATGCAGTATACTCAAATATTCTTGATCTTGTTCTCCATTTTGGAGTCATCGTAGGTGATTTCATTTCTCTGTGGGATATGTGTACCATGCAGGGTGGCTGTGGTTGCTGGCAGAAAAATCACCCTGTGGGCTGGAGCATCAGAAGGAGCAAGGACAGGCCAGGTGGACCAGAAGAGGCAGATGACATCCCAACTCCAGATACAGACCTCTCAGGGGAGTCTTTAGATTAAAGCTGTCAATTTCACAAGGAAGCTGGCTACTACCCCCCAATCCTCTTCATTTACTATTGATTCTAGTTGTACCCCCCACAGTGGTCTTCTAAAGCTTCTCTCTGCAGACAGCACTGCCTTTTAGGTTGTTGAAAGGACTAAAATCATCTAGTGTGGATTTTGTTGCTTTCCTCTCATTGCCTCTCAATCCTCCCTCAGCCATCAAAGAAAGGGTAGGCCTTCCCTCCTAAGAGCCTTCCTGGTGCTGGAGAACCGATTTCTGATGTGGATCCGTCTCTGGTTGGCACTTCCTGTAGCAGCTGCTGTGATCCTGCCCCAGGGCTCCAACCACCGGCACTCAAAGCGTGGCCTGGCCCTGCTGCTTCTCCCACATCCCAGCCAGGGCTTCAGCTCTGCCCCTGCCTGAGAGGCAGCAGTCCAGACTCCTTTCTCAGAGCTCCTTGCTCTGACTGTCTCATTAAGGGACCGTAGATCCAAAGCCAGGCCACCCACAATGAGGAAGAAAGAAGCTAGGCCTTAGGTCACAGCATAAGGTTGTTGACGAGAGACAAGGACCAAAGCGTAAATCATCCGAGTCAGTGGCGAGAATTGAGATCTGGGACGGTTCTTGAGCTGAAGGGCAGGCAGTTGCAGTAGTTGATTATTTAAAATGTTCAGGTTTAGGTAGAGATCTAGACAAATAGCCTCATTCTGAGCATGTCCAGATCATGAATGAGTATGAAGTGACCAATATTTTGCTTGCTGGATTGGAGATACTGTGATAGAACACATTCACAATTAAGTTGTTGAATGTGGATTTTTTAAAAAAGGCCAAATTCATAGAAACAGAGGGTAGAATGGTGGTTTCCAGGGGCTAGAGGCGGGGAAATGGGGAGATCTTGGTCACATGACTAAGATTTGGGGATCTGATGTACAGCATGTTGACTATGGTTAACAACCGTATAGTTGGAAGTTGCTGAGACATATCACAAATGTTGCCACATACACACAAAATAATTATATGAGGTGATGGTGTTAATTAACCTCATTAAGGTAATCATCTCAATAAATCTGTGCATTCGATCATGTTGTACACCTTAAACTTATACAATGTTATATGTCAATAACACCTAAATAAAGCTGGGTAAAACTGAAATAAAATTAAGCTGCTGAATAAGTTAGTAGACGTCAAAAGGATTTACTATTTCATTGGGATGATATTACTATGTGATATATTGCTTCTTATTCAAAAATAAATGAAAAAATAGATTGGTTGCCCTGCAAGTAGATTGATAAAATGAATTTTGTCAAATAAACAAAGTTTTAGAATGTGTGTTAGAATCAATATAGATTCTATCCAATCCCTTATATCACCTCCATGATGTAACTTAATAAAGATTTACTGAGTACTGACTTTGTGCTCAGTATGTTCCAGGCACTGAAAATACATAGAGGGAAGATTAAATCATATCAGCTGTTCTGAACTTATTAAGGCACCAATCAGAACTAAAATACTTTGAAAAGACTTGATAAAGAAAGGTTAAGAGAAGAGAATGGAGAAGAAACTGTAAGGTACACTCACTGTAGACAAGAACCACATTGTGCAGTTCCTATTTTTTCTCCAACTTCGTCTAGCAGTGTTCTGAGCCCAGCAGTGAGACAATAAATACTCATCAAGCTGAATTAACCAGAAAATTTAATTAATTAAAATACCCTTTTCTTTCTTATTTTCTCTTCTCTCCTCTGTGCATGCCAGCAGTTCAAGAGGTTGTATAAAACTACAAGGTGGTGGGATAAAGACCGAAACCTTTGCCAAGAAAGCTTCCAAATTAAAGAAACTTGTTAACAGCCTCAGAAGTCAAACTTCAGCCTTGTGTGACATCTGGTACCTTTCCTAATTACAGGCTCCATTCTCTCCAGTGCTCAAGTGTCTTCTGCTGCAGGGCCTTAAGTGGTACCCTGAAGCCTGCGAAAAGACGCTGTGCTGCCAAAAAGCCAGATGTGTGACTAGGGGCTAATTTAGGCTCTGGAAAGATCAGGCTCATTCTCTCTTTTTAAATGTATTATTTTCAGTGGAGACCAAAGTCCATGAAAGCCTCAGGGGAAAAAAGTGCAGCCTGAGAAAAACAAAATTAATGTCAACTTCAAATGCAGAAAAGTTAAGCTGAGAAAATCAAAATTGATGCCAAGTCAAATGCAACCTTTAGGCTTATAGAAAGAGCAGCTTTGCTCACACAAAAGCAAAGGCAATATGTCAGCTTTTTACAAAATGACCAACTGACTTGGTAGAACATCTAGAAAATGTATCACATCCCATAGCATGACTTTCCTTCCAAACAAAACTCTTCCCTTATCATAAAGGAGACAATTCACTGTTTCCCCAGCAGCCTAGGGGACCCGCCGCACACTCGAACTCTCCCAGGATGTCTCTGGTATGTATCTACTCCTTTCTTCTACTGCAATCCTTCACTGCAGGAGCAGTGAAGGGAGAAGCAGACTCTCATATTTACCAGCCCCCCCCAATAGTGGATGAAAAGAATATTGTTGAGGGAACTCCAGATTTAGAGATTACTTGTTGTGGGTATTCTCAGGTCCTGTGTCTTTTAAAAGCTGTGAGTTACAATCAGTTTCTGTTCACTAGTAAATTCTCATGGCTGGTTTCCATTTACTCAACAAATATTTATTGAGTATTTAACATCTGCTGTGGGTATTATATGCAAAGATTTTTTACCCCAGTATCATATAATATAATAGTAAGGATTGTGTTTTCATCTTTTATGAATGTTCTCTCCCCGTCCAAGTAGGAAGTTTTCTTATAGGTAAGTAAGAAAGTGGCACTACTGAATGTTTGGAAATTTTGTTAATTCATTCATTAAAAAATACTTATTGTGTACCTACTGTATCCTAAGCACTGGAGGCTCAGTGCTCAGTAAAATGGGACCCTTGTCCCTAAAGAATTCACAGTCCAGTGAGGAAGATATTAATTTGAATCATAACACTAACAGAAAATAAAAAAGGGCTGGAACAGGGCTACATCAAAAAGTACACTGGAGATCAGAGGAGAAGGAGTATTAATTGGTCTCTTTTCAGAGAGGAAAGGGCAATTCAGAAGGAAGTATAGGGTGGGTGGGAGTAAGAATTAAAGAAACTAATAAAAAAGACAAGGCATTTGACCCCAAAATATTCAGAACTCATAAATGTCCTTGTCTGGGTTATTGGCTGCCCCACCAGATCAAGATATTCTTCTTTATCTGATAACAATTTATGACTCAGAAAATATTCAGCCAGATCAACACTATTTTTTATCTGGTAGGAGA